TTGATATACAGGGTTTTATATGTTTTATGAAGTTTAATATGTCACTTTTTTCTTTTGATGGTTGCTGACTTAGGCTTTTTTTTTTGTTTAGCATGGCTATTATTTTCTCTTACAATCTCTGTATATCTCATCTTCCAGCTAGGCCAGGGGTCGGCAAGCTTTTGAGACGGAAGAACCGCCAGGGGTCTGCAAGCTGCGGCTCATGAGCCACATGTGGCTCTTTGGGTATGTCCATGTGGCTCTAAAGTAAAATTGAAAATGAAAATAAAACTACCATAGTTTCATTTATAAAAATTTTAAAGGATATTATTCACATAATAGTGATTATGTAAAAATATATTTATGGCTCTCGAATAATTTTTAAATTGTTGTGAGGGACAGGATTGGCTCTTCCAGGGGTCAGCAAACTTTTGAGACGGAACATACCCAAAGAGCGGCACGTGGCTCATGAGGCGCAGTTTGCAGACCCTTGAGCTAGACTGAAGCTCTCTGAGAGAAGGGCCTGTTTCTGAAGTTGTATTTCTTGACTCGACTCTCTGCCTTATTTCAGTGTACATGATCCATAAGTGGCAATAAATTCATTTGTTTTTTGTTGTGACAGGCACTTTTCTAAGATTGTCCTTAATGATCTATGCCTCCTGATGTTCACACCTAAGTATAATCCCCTCCTTTTGAATGTGTGCCAGCCAGACCTAGTGACTTGCTTCTAATCAATGGAGTATGGCAAAAATAATTGGATGAGGTAAAGCTATAAAAGACTGATTTCTGTTTCATTTCGTCTCTCTGATTCTCATTTGAAGGTCCATGTGACAAGGAACTGAGGGTGGCCTCTGGCCAAGGAGTGGTGAGGAATGGAATCCTGCCAATAAGCACATGAGAGAGCTTGAGAGTGGACCCTTCCCCGCTTGAGCCTTGAGATGGGTGCAGCCCTGGCTACATAAGAGAGAGAACCTAGGCCACAGGATCCAGCTAAGTGGTGTCTGGATTCCTGACCTACTGTGAAATAACAAATGTTGTTTTAAGCCAGTAGGTATTGGGGGTAATTTGTTACACAGCAATAGATAACTAACACAATTGTTAAAAAAAAAAAAGGCTTCTAGTCTTTGGGGACTTTTCTTTGCCCTCTGTTGAAGAAAAACCCAACTTATTTGCTGCTTCAAAAAGTAAAAGAGAATCTCTATATGAAACCATATCAGCCTTGGAAGTCTTACTGCCTTTATTTAACATATTGACAAGGAATTGGTTTGCTGAGGATGCAGCTATATTTCTCTATGAGGGTAACAGAAAATATGTTTATATTTCTTCTTCTCTCCCAGTGTCTTAGGAGGATGGAGCAGCTGACTAGAGAAGCCCCCTGTGTTTTGCTGAGCACAGCGATGAGTTCGGGGCTGCCATCCTGGGACAGAGCTGGGACACCATGGATTGGCTCTACATCAGGGAGGAGCAGTGCATCAGGAGAGAAGTATATGTGGGGTGTTGGGAGGCAAAAGGACCCATTGTAGCTGCATGATAGATATGGGACTTTGAGGACATGAAGTCTATTCAGAGGTTTTTAAGTAGTCCACTGTGGCCTGTGCAATAGAAATTCCTTGTCTGGGATCCTGGTACATTTTTAGTATAGTTTACATTATTTCTTTCTCTCTCTCTCTTTTTTTTTTTTTAGATTTTTTTTTCCATTGAGGAATTGGGGAAGGGGAGCAGTGTTGTGGAATTGGGGAAGGGGAACAGCCAAGTTGTTGTCCATCAGTCTTAGTTGTGGAGGGCGCAGCTAGCTCAGCTCCAAGTCTAGTCGCCATCCGGCTGCCCAGCTGCAGCTGGTGGCAGCTCAGTTCAGGTGCTGTGTTTAATTTTAGTTGGGGTGGGGGGAGGCAGCCCACCATCCCATGCAGGGCTCAAACTAGCAACCTTGTTGTTAGGAGCACGTGCTCTCACCAGCTGAGCCACCATGCCGCCAGTTGGCTGCTCAGCAGCAGCTCAGCTCAGGTGCAGCTCACTGGCCCATATGGGAATCAAACCGGCGACGCTGTTGCTCAGAACTTGTGCTCTTAACCAACTGAGCCACTTGGCCAGCCCTACATTATTTCTTAATGCTTTCCTGGGAGTGGATTTTTAGAGGAACTGCCAATGTTGGATCCTGTCTCCAAACGAGGCCTGAATAAACTTAGACATAGTTGCTGGTAAATGAGGGAATCGCTGACATCCAGGTCACACTGGGATTGTGCTGAGTCAACCCTGAGAGTGGCAGGGGCCGCCATGCCTCCGAACTCCTGTGCCTCAGCTCCTACTCAGTCCTGGTGCCTGGTACCCACATGCTGCCATTGTCAGTGTTCATTCACAGGTGCCCACACCCCACCCCAAAGACACAAGAGTTTAGTTTTTCTTTCTCCTCTCCTCTCGATGCTTACACTCAGTGGCTCTCTGTCTTATTTGTACAGAGCCCTGAGTTTTTTTCTACATTACTAATAAGGGTCCAATGTAGTGAAATGAATTTCAGTTCATGTGTCAGCTCTCCTAGAAGAGAAAGGACTGTCTCCTTCAGATCAGCTAATGTCCTGTTAAAGGGAGAGAGGGGTGAAAGTCGTTGCCTCTTCCCCACTGAGCTGGGTTATTTGAACATCTTGAACTAAGGAGCTACATTTTAAAAGACATCCAGATTTTCTACTCCACAGCAATAGATTATTTTTGCAAGTTTTAAAGGAATTTTTCAACTTCTTTAAAAACATTTTTATCTGTTCACTTGGTTTTTAATCTTCACTAGAGCCAGGTATTTTTTTGTACTTACATATAGGAATGGAGCTGGGCCTGGGCAATCAGAAATGATTAAACCCACTCTGGACCCGCAGACCCCAGGGTTGGAGTTAAATTGCTATCCCAGTGACTGCTGAAGACAAGATGGGGAGCTGATGTGAAAATTGAAGCAATTACCTAGATCATTCAGGTAGAATTTCTGAGGCTTTTTTCCCTTGAACAATTCAGATAATTGCATCAATTTACACTTTTTCCTGGCAGTAGAGACTGGGACAGAAACTGCTCTCTAGGAGAGGGCTGAATAGAGAGATGCAGAAGGCTCAGAAAATGATTCTGATCACTCAGGAGAGAAAAGGGGAGTGTGGAGGGGGATTCATGTGCTTTGGTCTTGATTTCTGCCAGGCTCAAGCAAGGCAAAGTGAGACTGTTCATTGCTGTCTGAATGACCCAGATCATTCTCCATTTTCTGTTTCATCTCAACAATGAAGCTGTAGGGGCCATGCAAGTGTTGCTGGTGGAGGTGTCAGAAGAAATTGTGACCTGGGGGTCTGTTTGAGGCTCTTACCCTGTGCTAGTGGGTGAATTCCTCAGGTCATTAACTGCCCTATAAATTCCTGCTTGGAGAAGGCTCTGCGGGGTCAGGATGGAGAGGAGTGGAGTAGGCGCTGTCTTGAAAGGGTGTACCATACCTGTTAACTTACCCATGAGCAAAAAATCAGGGCAGCAGGACTTGGTCATTCCATGAAGCAAATGATTGATTTCACTAGGACCCTCAAGGATTCATTTCTGGGACGAAAAACCCACATTGTTGAACGAATGAATGAATGATGCATGAATGCATGAAAGACATTATCGAGTTGCTTCTTGGTGCCTGGTATTATGCCAGCCCTTGGAATAATTAACTTTATATTAATATATGCCTTTTCTTTCTTTTTCGCATGTTTTCTCATGAGGAATCATTCCCCCAGTCTTTTCACTGCCTCTACCAGCCTTTATTTCTAAAGCATTTTCTCACATATTTCTCTTTCAGTTCTCACTTATCCAGAATAGACAATATTTTCAGCACCATTTCAACAGATGGGGTAAAAAGAAAATAATCCAGAGAAGTAGAATATATTCTCCAAAGTCACAGAACTTGTTAGCAGCAGAGCTGGGATAAAAAAGGCAGGATCCTGAGCCCAAGACTCCATTGACAATACAATGTCATTGTTTTCAAGTTCATGTATGCATTCATTTGTCCTTGCTGTTATCATGATCATGATGGACATGGATTGCTCATTCAGAAAATATGTATCACGCATGTAGATAATATGTGATCCTAACCACATAAGGAACAAGACATACGCATAAGACATTTAACATGAAGAAAAATACTGGGACATGGAAAGAACTAGGGAACAATACCAGGCAGCAATAGGAATGTCACTGCAAGACAGCAAATGCCCAGGTGCCAAATAGAAAGGACCAAAGGCCTAAGAAGGCAGAGAATCCTGTGAGCTAGAGCTGTTCAGGAAGGGGTTTTCAAATTCCCTCTCTTTCAATATTAAGGATTGTAAGTGGGCCTTCGGCACAAGTTCTGTAAACTGTACTTAATAATTAACAGTAATTAAGAGGTTCTTAAACTGGGAGCCACAGGCAGGCTTCGGTTGTTCCCAAACTCTGAAACAGCATGAAAAATCTGTGGGTGTGTATAGGCTTATTTGTCTTTGTTTGTTTGTTTGTTTTTCTATGGAAAAGATACTTAACTTTCTTCAGATATTAAAGGAATCCCTGACCCATCATATGTTATGACCACTATCTATGTACAGGCGGTGCGGTTCACGGCCTTCTCCTTGGAATAATTGGTTTCAAATATTCATGCAAATCTCATTTCTCCCCTTAACTTCTTCACAACTCTTACAAAACTTTCCACACAGAAAAAAATGCTCCATAACTGTTCGTTTGGCTTAAGTATTGATTCTCCTTTGGGATCATGAAAAGATGTACAGAGATGCTATAGAGATTTTAACCGGGAATATTGGATATGACCTTTAGCCCTTTTCTTGACTTGGGTAGCCAAACCAGACCTGCAGGCTCTTGGAGGTGGCACCTGGGGCACAACCGCTGTCCTCGAAAGCCAACTCCAAGCATCCTCACCCTTTTCTACCTGCAGGTGGAGCGACTACAAGTCCCAGGCCGCTCCGCGCTGGGAGCCAGGTCGGATCTCCGAAGTGACGTTTCCGCCAGGGGCGGTCCAGGGGAGGGCGGGGCGAAGGGGCGGAGGGGCGGGCCCGGGAGGCGGTGGAGCGCGCTGGTGCTGATGCAGGATGGCCGAGCGCGCAGGAGCCCGGGAGGTCTGAGCCGGGCGAGGCTCGCTCCGCGCGCATCGCCTCGTCCGCCGGCCGCGTGGTCGCAGGCAGGTGGGCTCGGGGCGCAGCGCAGGGCCGGGGCAGGACCAGGGAAGGTAGGTCTGCAGCTCGCGGGGCCGAATGCTGATAGACTGCCCACCTACCCAGTCTCGCAGCGGCCAGAGCTGCCCATCCGCAGAGTTCGCCATGACCTGCTGAGAAGCTTCGTCGGAGGCTGCAGGAGGCGGCCTCGCTGCGGGCGGTGCTGTTCGCGGCCTCCTCCCTGGTCTTGCTGACTCCCGGCCCCCCAACCCCTCCCCGCACCCCCTCCTTGCGGCCGGCGGAGATGGCGGATCCAGCTGAATGCAGCATCAAGGTGATGTGCCGGTTCCGGCCCCTCAACGAAGCGGAGATCCTCCGCGGGGACAAATTCATCCCTAAATTTAAAGGCGACGAGACCGTGGTAATCGGGGTAAGTGGCCCGGGCGTCTGGCCTCCCCTCCTGCTTCGCGCCGCAGCCCGGAGCCCCGACGGCCCAGACCTAGCGGAGATGCTTGGGCCGCCCCTTCGGACCTCCCCGCAGGGATGCTTTCTCGGGGGGACTTGACGAGAGATTCCCCTACCTCGGCCCCATAGTTCTCTCCCGAGTGGGTGGAGGGGCGACTGGGGACGGCGGGGTGGGCCCCAGGTGGTGAGGGTGGGGGTGGGCGGCGAGGAAGGGTTCCGCGCCGCCATTGTTCGCGGGGTGGGGGCCGGGTGGGCCTATTGTTCCCCGCCTTGGTCTTGCCGCGTGGGTCGTGTGTTCGGGGTACCCTCAAACCGGGGTTCCTAGGCTCCCCGTAAAGTATGAGCTCTGCAAATCCACGAATGATTCAGGCGTCAGTTCGATTTATCGAACACTTTGCCTCTTCTCACGATCTTAGCAAAACGAGGAGGAAAAAAGGTAATGGGAAAGTCCTGGCCTCGGAGCTCCCACGGCTGTGTAGACGCGGCTCGCCGCGGCGTTTCACCTTGCCCTGAGCGCTGAAGGCGGGGTGTGGGTGGTGGTGGTGCGGGGAACACTGCTGGCCTTGGTGTCCCCAGGAGGCCTGTTGTGCCTCCTGTTTCTCAATTCAGTCTGCCCTGGTCGTGGAACCCAGGTCTGACCCCTCCCCAATGGGCGATTCCCCACCTGTTGTTCGCAGACCCGTGGATGTGCTTCGTGCTGGGTGGAAAGGAGGCTGTGTGCCCTCATCTGTGGGGCTCGGGTGCCCAGAGCGCAGCCCAATAGCCTGGCTGTGTGTCAAGAGCAGAAGTTACTTTGTATGAATAGGGCCCCCCTCTGTCTTGATCTCCCTTCTCACCTTTCCCCTTCCCCCTCAGCCCCAT